CATTGTCTGTTATATCCAGAAACCTGGAAACAAGACTGTGGATGCTGGCTTAGCTCACTGGCTGCATGTGGCAACAGTCTGAGCCAAAAAAGCACCCAGCATTCTCTAAAACTAAGGGAAAACAAAACCCAGTACTTTTCAGATAAAAATAAAAAACAATTAAAGGAGGAAACCCATTTGCAACCCTCAGGGATGATCCAAGCTTTTCTGCACCCAAAGTTTACTTTGAGTAAGGGGAGACAATTTTGCCATAGGTCCAGGGTGCTCAGAATGGAGTCGATTTTCCATTGTCCTTCTGCACAGGCATCTTTAATGGACTTGTTTATTTTCTGCTGCCACCATCAATGTTCCCAGCGACAATTTTCAAGAACACTGTATTCACAATGCACTTTTCTTTATTTAAACACGTGTCTAGAATGATTCAACATGAGGAATAAAAATGCATATCAAAAATCTTTGCGACAATGCAAAGAGAACAGTGTTCCAAGGGTGGGTCATCTGCCGTTTATTTCCCTCACAGAATGCTCCAGCTCTTTGACTGGTGAGAGTCCTTCTGTGTTTCTTTTTAAAATATACTTCCTTTTTAAATTCTATTTCTCTTGCCCGAGTTTGTTACTTTAAACTTTATTTTTACATTCAAGGTTTCACAAGTCATTATGTGGAAAATTGTTGGGCAATGTGGTAGGCAGAGTCCTTTTATGCCCTCTCCTTGTACGATTCCTGGCTTGTGATGTCACATACAACAGGGTCCTTCAGAAAGTTCATGGGAAAGTGGAATCAAATGATGATGATTTTATTTTGGTGTGAAAAAGTTGTAATCCATCTACAGTTTTTTTCTTAATATACTTTTTTTTCTCCCGTGAATTGTTTAATGACCTCTTGAAGCATGGACTTCAAAATCATTTTGCACCAAAATAAACTTACTTTTAATTAAATTTTCCATGAAATTTGAAAAGACTCCTTATCTTCTCTTTGTTATTCAACCAAATGCTAAGCTAGGTAATGCTGTGAAGGGGTTTTGGGGATGAAATTATGGTGTCAAATTAGTTGGCCTTAAAATATAGAGATGATGTGGATGGTACTGATGTAAGCACATGAATCCTTTAAAACAAAAGGCTTTCTCAGACTGGTCACGAAAGGGAAGAGAAACACACTATAGCTGACCTTGAGAAAGAGGCAAATATCCATGCTCTGAATGGCCATAGAAACCACGTGGCAAGGCCTATGAGAGGCTCTAAGAAGCTGCAACCACAGGGAAATGATTCTGCCAATAGCCAGTGGACTTGGAAGAAGACCTGGGCCTCATATGAAAACCACGAACCCAATCAACACAGATTTTATCCTAGTGTGATGTTGTGCTGACAATGCAGCCATGCAGCCCTGAATTTCTGACCAATTGGAAATTGTGAGATAATAAATGTGTGCTGTGTGAAGATGCTAAATTTTTGGTAATTTACAATGCAACAATAGAAAACTGATACAGGCAGCCAAAAATCTACATCCTTAAAAATGAGTTAAGTAGGAGGAACATACTGGTATGTTATACCAAAACCAGTGCCTGGGTTAACGCTCAGCTACATCTCCTGACTCGAGCTTCCCGCTAACGTGTTGATGCTCAAGTAACTGAGTTCCTGTCATCCACGTGGGGATGGGGATTGAGTTCTTGGCTCCTGGCTTTGGCCAGATACAGCCCTGGCTGTTACAGGCATTTGGGTAATGAACCAGAAGATGGTTCACTTTGGGTTCTCTCGTTCTCTCTCTCTCTTTCTCTCTCTCTCTCTCTCTCTCACACACACACACACACTTTGAGCTCTCACTTACAGCTCAAAGCTGTAACTTGTGGGACTAAAAAATGGTGCAAAGTTACCTGAGGGTGTGGAATAGATAATCTCTTTGCCTCCTTAGTTTCATTCCCACTTTTAATAGGAGGAATTAGATGTTTCTGATTGGTTTCTCTTGCTGCTTTTTGTTGTTCATGGACTTGAGGCTGTGTTTCATAAACTCTTAATATCTACTAATTATTTTAGAGCCAGGCAAGCTGTCTCTTCCTTCAGGAAAGTCCTTCCAATGATCCTCACCCCCTAGGTCAGGACACAGCCCTCCATAGGCCCCTAAACACCCAATTTACACTTTAACAAGGGTTTACACATCTGCTTAAAAAACCATCTAACTAATCAGACTGAGCACCTTGAAGGCAAAGATTGTGTCTTAATCATCTTCATGCTGTCCCTAGTTCTTAGCACAGTGCCAAACATACGTAAGGAGCTCATTATATGCTTACTAAAGGAGAGAGTGAATGGGCACACTGAGTCATGAAAGTTCTATTTCCTCCCAGAAATGGATTATCCCTCCTTCTTCTTCCCCACTGATTTTCTAGACGGCCAGTGTGACTGAGACAGAATTCTAGATGTAAGATAAGGATCAAGGCTAGAAAAGAAAATGAAGAGACAAGATATACCAGAATGAGAAAGGGCCTTTCCCAGAAAATTGGAGGAATAGGGCAATACCCATGAGTTGCTAATCATCCCTGTTAGGGACTATAGTCTATGTTCACTTTGTAATGTTGGCAGCAGAGTTGTCATGAAAATCCCTAGCTCAACTGAAAGGCTCTTTTTTAATGGGGACAGAACTCCCTCCCCTATCTTCTCTACCCTCATTTTGAGGGCCACTGGAATGGTAACAAGCAGTAAGAAAGTGGGAGAATACCATCACTTTTCATTGCTGAAAACATGGAGGGACTTTCTCTTATTTTTTTTTTTTTGATTTTTTTAAACTTTTATTTAATGAATGTAAATTTCCAAAGTACGACTTATGGATTACAATGGCTTCCCCCCCATAACGTCCCTCCCACCCGCAACCCTCCCCTTTCCCACTCCCTCTCCCCTTCCATTCACATGAGGATTCATTTTCGATTCTCTTTATATACAGATCAGTTTAGCATACATTAAGTAAAGATTTCAACAGTTTGCTCCCACACAGAAACATAAAGTGAAAAATAATAGATGATTTTTTAAATGATGATGAAATCAGATCAGACCTATTGATAATTTCTTCTTCTTCTTCTTCTTTTTTTTTTTTTTTTTTTTTACGGAAGATCAGTTTAGTATACATTAAGTAAAGATTTCAACAGTTTGCACCCCCATAGAAACACAAAGTGAAATATACTGTTTGAGTACTCGTTATAGCATTAAGTCTCAATGTACAGCACGTTAAGGACAGAGATCCTACATGAGGAGTAAGTGCACAGTGACTCCTGTTGTTGACTTTACAAATTGACACTCCTGTTTATGGCATCAGTAATCTCCCTATGCCCCAGTCATGAGTTTCCAAGGCTATGGAAGCCCCTTGAGTTCTCCGACTCTTATCTTGTTTAGACAAGGTCATAGTCAAAGTTAAAAGGGGTTATGAGATTGAGGAGGAAGGGGGATTTTTTTCTTTTGAAGGAGCATTTTCCTTGTCCACTAACAACATGGAAAGGGCTTTTATTAATGGGACTACAAATCCTGCCAAAAATTCTTTCCAATATCTGTAGTGCTTTCTTACCATTCTCTTTTAAAAAAGATTATTCATTTATTTATTATTTATTTATTTGAGAGGTAGAGTTACAGAGAGAGGGAGAGACAGAGAGAAAGATCTTTCATCCACTGGCTCACTCCCCGAATGGCAGCAATGGCTGGAACTGGACCAATCTGAAGCCAGGAGCCAGGAGCAAGGAGCTTCTTCCAGGTCTCCCACATGGATACAGGGGCCCAAGCATTTGGGTCAACTTCCACTGCTTTCCCAGGCCATAGCAAAAAGATGGATTGGAAGAGGAGTAGCTGGGACATGAACTGGCACCCATTTGGGATGTTGGCTCCACATGCAGAGGCTTAGCCACTGATGCCACAGTGCTGGCCCCCTTACTGCTCTTTTAGAATTGGCTTATCTTCCTGTGAAGAGTTAATGTTTGAACAACCTATTCTTCCTCCCTCTCCTTTCCTGCCCTAAATTTCAGTCCTTTTTTTAGCCACTGACTGGAGAACAAGCTGTAGATGAGCACCTGGAGGGGCGAATGTCCACGGCCCATCCTCACAGTCATGGCTACCTGTTCTTAGCTCAGATGCATGGGGCTGGGTTGCCTTCCCAGGGTCCTGGGAAACATCTGGGGACTCTGGGAGGGGAGACATGTGGAGACAATTGAGTTCTAAGTTCAACAAGAGTCTAAATCCCATGCCAGTTACTCAAGAACTATGTGTACATACTCACCATGGTTTGCATTTAAAAAACGTATCCAATATTAATTAAAAACTGAGAACAGTTATTACTTTTTAACAACAGTTTTCAGGAAAAGAAAAGAACAGTAAGTTCATACAAATGAACTATTAATCACTATCTTTTTCCAGGAGGAAATGGATGTAGAAATATGATAGAAGTGTTGACCCAGCAGGGAATGTAGAACTGCTCATTGTCATCAGGGATTTGGCTTGTTGTTTACATTTTAAAATTTGGATAAAAGCTGAAGTTGGGCCTGCATTGCTTTAAGTATTATCTCTTTTTTTCACTCTTATTTGATGTAGGCAAATATAGCCAATCCTCATATACAATGGGCTGATTTTATGGTTTCAGACACACTATCTGAAACTTGTAAAGGAAATGCAAATATTAGGAGACTATTTGATATTTTATGAAGATCTTGGAAACAATCTTTATGGCATTGTATTTACCAAGGTTGAAGAAAAGAAAAACATCATCCATCCAGATTTAAATCATTCCAAGGTCAGGTTTATCTGTATATCCAGATGCTCATCCATGTCAATGTTTCAGTAGTTAAGAGTAATTTAGACTTCAAAGGTACTTAAGAATAATCTACTGAATGTTTATGTACCAAAATACTCCTTTATTGTAGTATAAACATGCTTTAATCAATGTTTGTTAGAACAAACTCGTTTTAATAAACCTAGCAACAAATGTAAACTATAAGATTCATGAGGGTAATTATTCCTTACAACTGGCATACTTACAATTGCATTTCTTCTGAACAAACCTAAGCTTGCATGCTGTTCTGTAGGTGGAGAGCCGGATGCGGTCCAGATCTTGAGCCCCTAAAGGAGGAGAAAGAGTGCACATACGGTATGCCACGTGTGTGGAACGAACTCAAAATGTTTATAAGTAAAACAAATACAGATACAATTCCCACATGGTTCTATTTTTATTAGAATATTTTTATATACTAATTAAATACACACAACTTTAAGACTTGAAAATGTCTGCTCTGTATCACTCAGATTCAAGGGGAAGAAAGCACATGTGTCCAACACTGGAGGTCAGATTGTCAGCCATGGGGATGTACCAAGCAACACAATCTCATCTTTGTTGTGATTGCATCTTCAGGAACAATCTGTTCAAGCAGTGACTTCACAGCTAAATCATACCAGATAGAAATATCATAAAATAATCATTTCAAATGCACTGCTACTGGTTATTGGAACAGGACTGTTAGGTCACCATATAATGAACATTGGATGTGTTCTCTGTGTGACTTCAGGCCAACTGCTTTTTGGAACCTTGGTTTTCTCATTTGGAAAGTGAGGATTATGATGGTAATAATATTGATTTCATAGGGTTGTCACAGGATAAGCGAGTAAATACAGTCAAAGTGCTTAGGACATTACCTGGCACTCAGGAAGTGCTGTGTGAGAATTCACTATTAATACTATTACCTTTCCTGCAATCCTTTTTGTCAGTTTCAGAGGAAGACACTCCTTTCTGAAAACAACTTCTATTCTTTATTATATTTACTACGTGGTTGCTTCCAGTTCCTTCCTAATGTACAGAGGACATGTTCTCCATATTCTTAAACTACTTTCTTTATTGCCCTTTCCTTATCCATGAATCCAGCATGATTCCTGATGCTCAGAGCACTAGATCTGAATGCTCTGCTCAGAACCCAAGCCCCTCTCAAGACTCTTTGCATTTTCCCTGCCCAGCAATATTTCCCGCCACTCTGTGCTGTTGAATCTCAGCTGATCTTGGGCTGGTCTCTTCACAGCTCTTCACAGATGAGCTGCTCCGCATATCAACACCTGCTCGTGTATCAACATCAACTGTGCCTAAAACGTATTAGACTTTCAATAATGTCTATTTTTTCCCCTTTTTAAGGTCTTTTGTTTTAATGTTCATATCATATTTAAAGGCATCCAGCTGTATTTTGATATGTCTTTTTTTATTATTTTTTTAACAGGCAGAGTGGACAGTGAGAGAGAGAGACAGAGAGAAAGGTCTTCCTTTGCAGTTGGTTCACCCTCCAATGGCCGCTGTGGCCGGCGTGCTGCGGCCAGTGCACCGCGCTGATCCGATGGCAGGAGCCAGGTACTTATCCTGGTCTCCCGTGGGGTGCAGGGCCCAAGGACTTGGGCCATCCTCCACTGCACTCCCGGACCACAGCAGAGATCTGCCCTGGAAGAGGGGCAACTGGGACAGAATCCGGCGCCCCGACCGGGACTAGAACCCGGTGTGCCGGCGCCGCAAGGCGGAGGATTAGCCTAGTGAGCCATGGCACCGGCTTGATATGTCTTTAACTTTCTTTTTGTCAGTCATACTTCAGTAAAATATGCTACCTGTATACTTCAGAAAATAATAGAATAGCAAGTAAATGAACTGGCCTGCATCCAGTTAAATTGGAGGATAATTATACTTTCCCAGTGAGTGATAAATTAGTGAGTGTCTCTCACTGACAGCACTTAGTATTTCATCATCTCAAACTGATCTCTTTAGATTCCCTTAATAATATTGTCAAGTTGTATTACTTTGTGGTTTTATGAGGCAGCCCATTAAACACTCATTCTTAAAAAATATGATTACTTGATAAACAGGCCCATTGATACTGAGCACTTGAGAGATCCAAGAGGTGGATCATACAATATAGGAATTCCCTCAGAAGTATTTTCAGGAATTGGACATTTAGTCAATTGCTATGCAGGATTATTTCCATTGGTAGGGAAGATTCCAAATTTGTGAAAATAAATGAACTTTAAAGTCAATAAATTTAACTTTTGTCACTTATTGTATGAACTTTGACAGTTTTTTACTTGGTCTCTTAATTTCCTCAAGTATAAAATGAGAGTAACAACATCAACATTGCCAGCAAGTAACAAATGTGAAGTCTTAACCTCTATACCAGTTACATCATGAGCACACAGCAGTCAATGGACCTGCTAATAAGGCTTCCTGTTCCATTTCTGAGCAAGAATACAAAATAGAAATTCTTTTTTAAAAAATATTTGAGCTTTAATTTGTCTCTGTAACTTTAACTTATTTGTTTTGGTGTCACTTCTAGAGCCACATAATCTTTTCTCCCTGTCACTTGATAATTCATTTCTCAAATACTGGGAAGCAGTAATCACTAACATTATTATCATCGTCATTCTTATCAGAAAATTATGTTCAAAAGTCCTATAATCATGAACTTTAAAGTTTAACTGGAGAGGCAGCTTCTCCCTGACCTTGCTAGGTTAAAGACATCAACTCTACAAGATTGTAGCAGCCACACAGTCTAGCATACAAAAGGGCTTTGATGATCAGAAATGGCTATCATTATGCTCATTCTCTTAAGACATGATTTTGAAACCTTTAAACATTCTAGTCACTGTTTTATGGCTGGCTAATATCTCCTTAAAATGAGAGTTACAAAATTAACCCAAGTGCCATAGCTATTGCCCTCCCCCCGTATAGAATATGTAGAAAGCAATAATTATTACCATTGATAAGGACACTTACAAATGCAATATATAATTTCAATAGATGGTTCATTCTGTGGGTACTTATTAAGCTTATAGTTAATGGAAATCTTCTTTTAAAAATAATATGCACTTAAATTAAATCAGACCTTTTCTACTTTTGTATTAATGATAGGACTTGCTATTTATCTAGTTAGTTCCTTCATTTTAATGTTTAGTTCATGCTTTTATACTTTCTGATAACTAATATCTTTTAAAATTTTGATTTCTGTCACTGGCATTTCAAAGATCCTTTGTATTCTTGGGTCCTGTATAAATCTGATAGGTTCATGTGGGAAATGAGCTCTCTAAGATGCCACATAACCAGAGACAGAGACTAACAGAAATACATCAATGATAATTCTGCTTTTTCTCCTGGGTGGGAATGTATTTTTATTGATGCTGAATTTGGCTCAACAGTCAGGGGAGTATCAATATCTGTAAGTGATACTTTTAAAGAAAGCATCAGGAGCTCAGAGTATTTGTATAAATTCTTCAAGAAAATTGAGTTGAGCCCCAGATAGTATTTAAGTATAAATGGACTATAATGTAGCACACAGTTCCATTTCTTAGTTCTAGGAAGACTAACCCTGACACCTCTGTCCCTCCCTCTTTCGGAAGTCCTGGGGGAAATTCTGCAATGGAGTGTTGCTCAGGGATACAGGGAAAAAGGATATAGAGGTGACACACAAGAATGGGAGTACACTGACTACTGTCTTGCGTTCTTTCACTGCAAGGACTCAACTTACACTGTGTTTTATTCAAGAATAGGGATGGGGTCCTAGAGGTCTGTAAATATTTCCCATTTGTGTACTTTCTACTTGGCTGACAATATAAACCTTGACTGTTAAAGGGAGAGTAGTGAGCAATAAAATTTAGCTTTTCAGATACAGGAGCACACTACCTTCCATAGACATTGTAGGTAGTAGCTACAGAATCCATAATGGGTTCCTAGATAAAAAGCTGCTGATTTTTGCTCTACCTACCTATATATATATGTATTGAGTGTGTATATATGTGTATATATATATATAGGTAGGTAGAGCAAAAATAGCATTTATATATAATATATATAATCATATATAATATATAATCATATATATATGATTTTATATATATATGATTTTTTCTAAGGCTCAATAAATTATGAACTTAATTCCATTTATAGGCAATGTTATATCCCATTCATTATTCTCCTAGACATGATGACATTACTACCTATATATTTACCTGATTATGTAGTGACTCAGTCCATATTTGTTCAATACATGCAGAGCCTAAGAATCTTTGTCAACATCCTGCTGAAATTAAGCTTAATTTTTATCTGATGGTATTTTCCTGCTCTAGCATCTTATAAAGAAGGGAGATTAGTTGACTTAATTCCTTTACTAAAAAGATAGAATTCAAATAAATTAATACAGAAATGTAGTCAGGAGAGCAATATACCTTTTTAGCATTTTAAAATGTCAAGAACTATCAATATATTTTTCCTATTGTTTGAAAAAATCCATTTTATCATGAAACCTATATTAGGTTGATACCCTAGATTCTAAAGAATCCATATTCTTCCCTTTTAATAAAACATTAGTATAAGGTTTTCATATTACTTTTTTTCAATATCTTTTTCATTATTTTTCAAAATCACAGATAATAGTTATATTTTTATAAAATCATATCACTGGGGATTCTAGAATTGCTTCAAAATAAAACCCAGAGGACTAGGGGCAAATAGTTAAGGGTAGAGATAAATGCTATTTTCTCTACTTCTGTGTACATTTGAAGCTTTTTACAATAAAAAAATATCAAAGCAAATTCATTTATGGCAACTTAATGCTCTTGCACCATCACCTCAAAGCTCTGGTATTCATCTCATATTTTGAAGAAAGTGACAAAGATGAAAGAAAAGATTCAGTTAAGAAATTCTAATGTTTACATTGTTGTTAGCTGCAAATTCTGTTTTTCCTTTTTTAAAGCCTGTCTTTCCAAGTTTCTCTCTCCTCCTTTTCTCCCTGTTACCCCATTTCTCCTTCCCATGCTCATCCCTTCTTACTTCCTCCTACTTGTTTTCCATTCATTCATCCTTCCAACCAACCAGCCATCACTGTTACCTAATTTTTAGCTTTAGCTTCATTATACTCATTTTCATTTTCACACTACTTGGATGTTCTGCTTTCTATGTTTTATAACTCATTATAAAACCTTCTATCTAGTCGCTCATATTTTTAAGTATTTCATTCATTTAGAGCAGAGGTGGAGAACAAACAGCCCATGAGCTATTTAAGGCTTGTAAAATCATTTGGTCTGGCCCTGCCAAGGCAACCATGGGT